GTACCCAGTAGTCAATCGCCTTATAAAAACTTTATCTGTTTGGACCTTTGAAATTACTTATAAGGATTATATTTTTAACTCGATACTGTTTCTCAGGATGTTAAGGTGACTTTTAGAAAAGTTGAATGGCAATAACTTTACAGTTTTCTTAATAACCCATCCCCAACTACTTACTAGTAATATGAACTAATAAGTCAAATTATTCTGAAACTACTTATTTCTCACTATTTCAAACATAATTTACTTACAAGTAAACTTTATTAATGAAACTTCAGTTTATGAGTATAATGATTTTTTTATCAAGTTTCATACTTATATATCTGTACAATGAATCGTAACCCAAAAGGCAATTAATAGGCATAGTTAATAATCACAAGAAATATAACATACACACTGGACAAAGTATTCGTATTTTTACAAGTGAATTTACTACATCACTATAAATATGTTCAGTCAAGTATAGTTAGTATTTGTGTAAACCTTTGCAAAACAACACGTGTAACTTCCTTTTGGAAACTACTGCTCTTTTAAAATGTCCATTCGGAGAACTTAAATGCAAAAGATTGCTGAAGTAAAGTATCCATTGGGAATAAGAAATTTGGTCCACGTATCTAAAGGATAATTCGATTGTTTAAATATCAAGGATCTTTTAATGGGCGTCAAACGTTAATATTCGTGTTGCTTAATAAGCAGTTCTGCTAAGTATTATCAGATATCTCTTTTCTCTGTTAAATAGCATATCAGAAGTCTGTATAATTTTAGTAGCCTTACATTTTCTAGGCTAGATGGCTCAATTATTAAGCTTACACTATTTATAACGACTCCCTATAAATTCATATCCATAACCCTAAGTGAAATCTAATTGGTATCTACAAGTTTACAAACTATAGATCAAAATTATACGTTTTAACCACCTAGACGATGTCCGATGTGTACATTGTCTGATTTAAATCATTTACTGAGTTTAATCGACTATCATTAATTGACGTCAATAGGAATCTGTCTAACATCTAGCTTGCTGAAATTACAGGAACCGTCTTCTTACAAAAATAAAGTAATATATAAAAATAATAAGCCTTCTAACAGTTGAATTCACGAGCCAATCCAAGCTAAACCACCATTAAAGGCCCAAAATCACTGTACGGCCGTTTAGTCTGTCATCGGAATCCTCAGTAGTGCGCACGAAAGCTTAACCTCTAGACCACCGAAGCGGCATCCAATGATGTTAATGTCTACCCTCAATCGATCCATGATAATAAGTAATTTTGGACCATCTCATCATGAATTCCTATTTCATCCAATCTCCAATCTTTTCATTCCTGCGATAGAACTAATTTGTGATTATTTGATGAATCAAAACTAATCATGTGTGCAGCACTGTTATTGCTTTCTTATAATACATCCCAGACGAAATAAATTGGGTAATCAGTTTTAAAATGCTTTATCCCATATTCGCTTGTCTTCCTGTGTATTATTGTCGTGCTACTTAATAATAATAAGTAGTTTGATGTCTTTTAGACATTTTCATAAGTATTTTTTGGCCGGTCATGTTCAATTTCTTCACGCAAAATACAATTAAAAACTTGCTTAATTCTAAGGTGGTTCCACACTTTGAACATATGGGACCTATTTCATTTTTGTTAGTCACCGAAAATCTGACTTGATACCATTTTAGATATTATTCTGACTCATAGTACTTACTGAAATGGACTTAACCAACTGTGTTCACAATGCGAAATTTCTTAATGAGACTACGATCTTTAATTACGATTTCCAACCAAGTTACTTTCACTAAAACATCACCGAAGGTAGGGAAAGCTGAGAATTAGGCTAAATCAAACATTGATGCATAACAGACATCCAATAAATAATAATGACTTTATTCGATATTATTGGTTTGATACACCGATAGGAAAGGTGTATTGTGCTGAAACCTACTGCGTTTCTGACACCTAGAAAGCTTGCCTACATTACCCTACTATTTATAAGTGCATCCAATGGCCTTGTTTTGAAAATAATCTGTCATCATTAGAGTACACTATACAACCAAAGTTATCGGTATTGAGAAACATTCATGTCATACTAAAGACGTAAACAACATGTAAACGATTGCCTCACAATCCACCACATCTACCAATTTACATATGGGTGTAAAAATAATAACATTGGGAGAAGCACCCCTGCCTTATAAATAATAGTGGTTGAATGTAAACTAAAATACCTATGAAAACAAATAAAGTCTAGTGACCAAATAAAACCAGATGTTAATTCTAGTCTTCCACTACTCTCCAGCTCATAACCGAAACAAGTCAAAAAACTAATGGACACTTAGTCTTTTGTGTTTATGCAGAAAAACTGTCGTGGGCAAATATTTACGTTTGTTTGTACGGAGATTCAACTCTAGTGCTATTTATTTTTATTTTTATGCCCAAGTTGGCGTGGTATTTTTATTTTATTGTCTATTCTGTTCTTATGTGCTAATTTATGTGGTTTTCTCTTTGTTTGACATATATCTCGTCAAGTTAAAGGATGATCAGTTCCTTTAAAATATATTGTTTTCATATTGTACATGATTCTGATAAACTTTGTATAGTGATTGCACCACTTAGACTAAATATATGTTTCATTTTATCGCGGAACACCTTACAGAATTCACTAAATTGTTGTAGGGTTTCCGTAAGGTAACTAATATCCTTAGTCCTTAGTTGACTTTGCACAAAATATAGCGTACTGTTCAGAGAGTATTTGTTACTACATATTAGAAAATTATATTCAGAAATTACTACACTCATTTTGTATTACTTGCCTTCATATTTATCTACTAATCGACATGAAGGTATGACGGTAATTCGGAGTTAATTCAATTGGTTTAAAAGTGGATTACTGTTACATCCGATATAGATTAAATGAATGGCAACTCCTAGAAATTATTTATGGATTAATATATACTCACAGCCACTTTCGGTTTGATGATGTGTAATTCTTATTTCTCATCTCATAATATAATACGACCTCACCTTCTTGTTTTGTCACGTGATATTAGACAAGGCCATAAGATATAACAATTATTTAGTACGTTACTTATCTACCGTGACTTTGAACTTTTGAGGTTTCACATATTTCTACATGAAGTAAATCTCAAAAAAAAGAAGAAATCCAGAGTGATTCATAATTTTGGCGCTTTATGTAATTGATATCGATTGATTAGTATATCTTATATCTACAGAGGTGCTCCAGTTTACTGACCCGGAGTCATATCCATAACTTCACTTATGACTTTAGGTAGCTTTCATACTTTTTTCCCACATCTTTCTAAACCTTAATTAAAAGAAGTTTATATTTTCTACTGACATTAGGTCAATCAAAAGTGGGTAAAGATCATAGTGACTACAAAATCATAAGTATTTTGGGTCTTATTTTAATGGGACTATCTGCCTATCATAAAAAGCTCTTCGTAGAATATATTTGAATGAAAATCCCTATCACTAGCCATATTCCCAAGGTTTGTTTGTCTCGGATTAAAAATACAGACTAAAGTATTCAATCATAACAACGTTCTTAAATAATCGCTTGTTTAGAAAACTACTTGAAATACTTTTGAATTCATTATCTGAAATTAGAATATTTCATTGCAGTTTTTCAGATCCGTTAAAAATATCAATAGTATGATAAGATTACTATACTCTTACAAAGCATGTCCGACTACATTAATTCATATATCAGATCGTAGAAGACCAGTTTATCTTAAAATCATTTATCACTGTTTAAGTTCTAGAATAAAAATTATTGAAATGAGTATTTATATACCATTATTTGAATCATTTCGTATAGCCATATCAAAAATACACTGTAATGAATAATGTAAAACAAAAATAAATAAATTGGAAAGTGTCGAATAATCGCTTTTTATCACTAGAGTATGTTTCATTACAACAAAGAGTTTTAAACCACAAGAGAGAAATTTTAGTCTTATATGCAATTGATTTGTAGATATACAGTCGTTCGCTAATATTTATATTCATCTTCAAAATTTTATCATCAGTTTAGTCCCTATGGCATTTAATCCATTGGATGATATAATTTGTGCATGAACTCCTGAAGGACAGTGATGAGTCCCATTTTGGTTCTACTGTAGTTACTTTGGTAATAAACTATGAGGATAGCTGAAAAATAGGTAAGTTAGAAGTTAGTTTTTCGTTAGCTTAAGTATTACCGTAAATTTTGAATAGCCGTACCGTATGAAGTTATTTTGATGGTTTTCAAAACTTACCAAGAGGATAATCAAAGTCAGTTATGGAAGAGTCTTGGATTTGGGCGCGAAATTCATTCATACATATTGTTAAGTAGCATTTTGGGATTACAGCTGATATCAGTTCATGGTGAAAACCCTTACTTTAATTCATAACCTTAGATTCTAACTCTAAATCCTAATCCTATTTCTTCATATTAATTTTTAGTCCTCTTTTGACTCTGTTAATTAGGTAAGTTGTCTCAATATCACCTTAGCGTTGCTCAAAGGTCATCCATAAATTAAAGTCCCATTGTCTGTTACTCCTTCGTTGTATTTACTGTATCAGTGAATAATAACTTTAGGAGACATATATGCTAACAAAAGAACATTGTATTACTAAGCTAGTCTTGCGATCAAAACAATAACAAAAATGACAGCTTGAAATATCTTTATCATATTACAATGCTTCTTGAGAAAATTAATCACCAAAACTCCATATTTAGCATCATCTATTCAAATCTAGTTTTATTGATTACAGTCACCCAATCACATTTAAGATTTGGTGACCTTGTTAAAGTTTGCTATATTATTTGACTCTATACTGATTTTCTATTGGTTACCTGAGGCAGTAAGGTCATACTACTGGCCTCGCCCAGCGATTGATAAATCTTGAGCCTTAAGACAATTACAATTAATTTTCAGGCTATCTGAAATGTCTATTTAGCAGGTACACTAGCTTCATGAGAGTTGGAGAACATCTCAATCTGAAATGGTAGAGCCATCAACAGCATACATTACAGCTAACAATTTACCTCCAGAAATTTTATTGCGTGTCTTCAATTATCTCGATACTGGTGATTTAATTAATTGTATTTATGTATGTTCTACTTGGAGACAAACAGCGCTTGACAATTGTTTGTGGCAAAGAAAGTTGGTGACAATTTTAAAAACTAAATGGTCTACTCTTATATGTGATTCTAAGCCCAAATATGCTCCGGACCTACAAAAGCTACAAACAATTCATCCTTACAAAATATATCACTTCCTTAAGAAATATGTTCCTCAACACCTACTTGATGACCAGAAAGAAGCATCAAAAGTTCAACTTTTGATTAATAGGATTAATCAACTTAGTCTTGCTTCGGCTCCACCTGAAGGTCAATCAACAAGTCCTTTATCATTCTGTGAATTATTTTGGAGATGGTGGAGTAATTTTAGACGCAGATCGTCTATCTACCATGCTTCACGTTCGAATGACATAAGTCGTCAGCGTTGTCGATTTGCAGTATTTGGACCGGGTTTTGACCAGAGAGCTACAAGTTGCTTGTTTAGTAAATTGGTTGATGTAAAAACCAAATCATTTGAACCATTAAATATGATACCAGGTCGAATGGGCTTTGGTGCTGGACTTACACTTCGGCTGCATAATCAAGCTCAAATGGCAGCATTAGATTCTTCTGTATATTTTTCTGACAAAACATTTAAACATTCAAAAAATGACTACAAAAAATCTATTCCGAAAGAGACATATACACCCAATTCACAAGCTATTAATTACTTAAACGATTTCATATTTGATTTACATTATCTTTATTCTTTAAGTGGACATTTAAGTCATAAGTTCAGTAGTCAGCTGGAGCGAATTCATGCCAGTCGTCTTTTTACTTATTCAAATGATGTAGATATCTCAACTATTCATTCATCATCCTTAAATAGATTAATTGTAAGCAATGAAATGAAATGTTTACTACACGGTATTTGTGGAATAATTTACGCTCTTGATGCTAGAGAAACAACTGAACAAGCTATTTACTTATATACCGAACTAAAAACTGTATTAAAAGGTTTTCCTAATGAAATAGCACATAAAGTACCGATTGTCATCCTATATATTATGCCAATTGAAGATATTTTACAAAATAATGATACAGAAAATTACATTCATTCAAATTATTTGAAAGATTCTACTGGAACAAATGAAATCTATTTAAATCGTGATAGTTATAGCGGTGCAAATTACACATTTTCATGGTGTGGTTCATTATTACAACCTTTAACATGTTTACATTTGTTTGAATTTCAAAATCCATGGCGTTTACAAAAATGTGCCAGTAATGATATTAAAGCGGTTATTCAAAGTTTAATGTGGTTAAAATCTAAACATCCAACTATTCATGATACAATAATTTCAACTAATATGAAACGTGCAACTTCCACAACATATTGATTTTTCATAATTAACTATAATAAGTTGTTATTATTATGATAAAGATGGTAAGAAAATTTCTATTTTTTATTCTTCTTTAAAGTGCTTGTTTTCTTTCAACAATAAGAAAAAAACAACAACAAGTCAGTAAAAAAAGTTAATGTTTGTTTTCACCAATAGTCTTTCATTTCCATTTATTTTTATTGATGACTATTTTGTTTGACAAAAAAGTTAAGGAGAGAGAGAGAAAGAGAGTAGATGTAACTAAATGCTTTCTATTATTCATATCATTGTTTGTTGAGATGTCTTTGTTCTTTTAAAAAAAAGGAAAGATAATGTTACAGAATGAATGTTTACTTATTTGTTTAACCATTTTCTTTTTTTAGATAATCTGTAGGAATAGAATTCACTACTATGTACATAGGGATAATTTGTAAAATCAGATTTTCTCTCTTAGTTAAATAGATAGATAAACAATTGATCGAAATGGTATATTGAAAGCAGTTTTATACAGATAATATGATATAAACTATAATCTGAAGTTTACATTATCCTAGTGTAATATTTCTTTGTTTGCAAATGTAGTTTAAAGGACTCTGATCAATAGTCAAAATGTTCCTTTGAAAAGATGTTACATCCTTACAAAATAAATGAACTGTCTTTGCTTAGATTAACAATGATAGTCATAATGAACTGATGAAATTTATCGGATTATCCGTTGGCATTGGATTTAACGAAACCAGGTATGAAACAATCGTAACTGATGATACTAAGTTATGATTACTCTACCATAGCAAAGGATTGAAAATAAACAAAATACGATATATTGTGTTTTGATTCAATCGTTTAGATATATTATGTTAGTAGTGAATTAAGTATCATATAGAAGTAGTAAATGGTAAACGATAAAGTTTCGCTAACTATGATGAAGCACTTTTCAAATCATCGCTGCTTCTGATGGTTTCCTAACCGTCATCAATTTCTGTTTTAAAAATGAAAAAGTACTCCCGAAATGACCTAATTAAAGTCACCAGTGATTTATAAAGTTACTTACTTACCCCTGTTACCCCTCATGGAGGAGCATAGGTCGTCCACCAGTACCTTTACTTGTGCACCAGATGCTCCTTGTTCATTGATGATGCTTCGCAGGTACGTGAAAGGTTTCACATCTTCCAAAACTTCTATATCAAGTGTAATTGAATTGATATTCTCCGTGTTGTATTTCAATATCTTGTTTTTTTCCCTTGTGCATGTTGAGGCATACTGATGCAGAGGCTTTTGACACACTGGCTGTATTGACCTGCATTTGTTCATGTGCATGAGATAGATGGGCTAGGTCATCTGCGACGTTCAAATCGTCCAGTTGCACGCAAGCTGCCTATTATATTCCGGCCTTCCCGTCAGATATGGAGGTCTCCGTAATCTAGTCAACTACCAGAAGACAGGGAAAGACGGAGAGTAGACAATCTTGTCTGCCAGCGGTGCTCACTTGGAACGCATCTATCATCTGTCCTCCTCCAACGTATGAATTCTGTATGATTTTGAAGATCTTCGGTAAACCATAGTGTCTAAGAAGGTTCCATATGGCTCTCCTGTTCACACTGACAAACGCTTTCTCATAGTCAGTGAAGTTTAGGCACAGTGACGAGTTCCATTCACTTGATTGTTCAACGATGATCTGCATCGTCGCAATTCGGTCTATGCGCAACCGATCCATACGAAATCCAGACTATTGAACTCGGAGCTGGATGTCTACTGAATCTTTCATCCGGTTCAGTAACATTCTGTTGAAAACCGTCCCTGGTACCGATAAAAGCGTGATACCTGTGTAGTTCCTACATTTGCACCGATCTCCTTTCTTTAATATCTTGATTAGCTATCCTTCTTTCCAGTCAGTCTGTCAGTGGCACTTCTTCATCCCAAATCTTCCTGAATAGAACGTGGAGCATGTTTGCAGTTACTTGTATATGTGACTTCATTGCTTCAGCTGGTATATTGTCAAGTCGTGCTGCTTTCCCACTCTTAATTTGTCTGATATCCATCCTGATTTCTCCGATCGTTGGTGGAGTGATGGCCGTAGGAAGGTCTGTAGGTGCTGCTTCTATGGCCAGTTGGTTCAATGGAACTGGCCTATTCAAGAATTCATCAAAGTGTTCCACCCACCTGTTCCAATGTTCTTAAATCTCATTGATTGACTTGCCTTATTCGTTCTTCACTGGTCTCTCTGGTTCATTATATTTCCCTTCCAGTTTATTCGTTGTGTCATATAGTCGTTTCGTATTTCCTTCACTTGCAGTCTTTTCTACTATCGTTGCTAGGTCTTCCGTGTACCTCTACTTGTAAGCTATGATGCTTCTCTTTACTATCTTGTTTCATTCAGTGTATTCAGCTTGTATCTTCACTTTTTCTGTTCTTGTTCGACTGTTGTCAATTTCTGCCTTTTCATTCTTCCTTTTCTTGAATCTTGTCTAGGGTTTTGATAGAGATCCATTCCTTCCGATGATGCTCGTTGTGGCCTAGCACTTCGTTACACGTTGAAGTTAGTGCTTCTTTAGTCCCTTTCCAGTTGCCCTCCATAGTCGTTTCTTCTTTGAGTGGATCTTGTAAGGCCTGGAACGTGTTGTTGAGAGCCATCCCGAATTCGTTGATTTGGTCAGTATCTGGGAGGAATGCTATACTGAACCTTAGTAATACTGTATCTTCAGTTGTCCACTGCTTCTCTAGCTTCATATTCACCTTGGCAACCACCAGATGGTTATCTGAAGCTATGTTAGCTCCTCTCTCGATCCTCACGTCTCCTACTGACCTTATGAATTTTTGAGTGACGTAAGTATGATTTATCTGGTTCTCTGTAGTGTGATCTGATGAGACCCATTTAGCTTTGTGTATGCGTTTGTGTGCAAATATAGTGCCACCTATAACCATTTTGTTGAGTGCACGTAAAATCGCAAGTCTATCGCCATTCTCGTTCCTTTCCCCCAGTCCATGTTGTTCGATGATATCTTCATACCCTGTGTTGTCCACTCCGACTTCGGCGTTTAGGTTTCTCATCAGGGTGGTCAAGTCCTTTCCTGGGAAATTCGCTACGATGGACTACAACCTGCCATAGAACTGACCTTTATCGTCGTCATTGCTATCATTGGTGGGTGCATAACACTGAATAACATTCATGATTATTCCCTCCTTCTTTGTTTTGAAGGACGCTTTGATTATACCGGAGTACAGCAGCATCTCTCCCGAATTTATCCTTTTCTGTTCAGGTTGGGTCTAATGAGTTTCACAGATTCCGAGCACCTTCAAGTAGTATCTCTTCATTTCTGTAGCTATTTGATTAGTCCTTCCTTCTTCCTAGATTGTCCGAACATTCCATTTACCTGTATTGATTGTGGCTCCCGTTTTTAGTAGGGACATCAGCCTTGTGACTTCCGAAGAATCTCGGCTTCCACCATGAGGCGTCATAATCCTTCTGAATGAAGATCCTTCAACTCTTAGAGAAGAGTTTAAATGTTTTAAATTGTTTATTCCGGTGGGCGGCTTTTTAGAAAGGTTGTTTTCTATAGGATGGTTTTGCTGACTCTATGACAAACCCTCCTCCTTTACCCGGGCTTGAGACCGGCAGTAACCCTAGAAGACCTACAGACGGAGTTAATGATTTATACAAGCTTAAATAATAACTGATGGTTCACTTAAATATATGGCCATGAATGTAACAGTTATTTTTATTTTGACAGATAATTCCCATTTAAGCATTAAAATCACGAAGTTTAGGGAAGGGATTGTACAGCTTGATAATAAATTCGTTAAAAAGAGATCCCTTCACTGAATTTAATGTTTTTTTTATTGTGATGAATTAAGACACTTGATGTTTTCCATAAAGTTTAAAATTGTTTCTTTTTTATCATACAATATTACGACATGTGACATTCAACTCTATATACAGCTTTCATTTTTATATTCAGTCTCTATTTCTTTATGATGGATATTATTCTCTCTTCAATATGATTTATTGTAGCTTATCTTTGGCCTACATTTGATTTTAAGAATTAAAATAACAAATAATTTATATTGAACGATACTCATATACAAAGGAAGAACGACACTGTCGAAGTTCACAAAGAATAAATCATGTCTTGAAGTTTTAAAACTTACACTTTCGGGAAAGATAAAGGTCGGAAGAATCTGTAACAGTGTAATCGATTCCAAACTACGTTATCTAAATTTTCCAACTGCATTTCACAATTATCTCGCAGACACCGATTAGGAAGTCTGAACTTCTAAACATAGGTCAACTGAGCAATCAGTGATTCTATAGACTGATAACATGGTTTTGTTTTGATCCTCCATAATCTTTTTCTATTAATTCGTTGTTTCTTTCAGAAAAAAAATACGAGAAAATACAATCGTATATGATAGGTATCGTTGTTATATCCTAGTGAAGATTACATTTACGAGTAACGTCTGAGACTTATTAATGGACTAATATTATTTGTATATTCTTATGGTGTAAAGATTCAGTAACTAGATAATGTATATCTATATTCCCCTTGTTATAAGCTTTATTTTGACTTATAGATTACTATTGTACGACTTACTGTTCCTAAGCTATGTTCAGTTTATTGACTACTGCCTCCCACGTTTACAGCCACTTTTTGGCTTTATTGTGTATGAATGTTATTTCCTATTTTATGCTGCGTTGCGGTCTGCTTGGTTGATATATAAACCCAGTATGTCTGAAATTAATTATTCTCATAGTGGAGGCTGTTGTTGACATTCTGAACTCAGCTAGACGGGCTAGGCGAGCAACGGACCGACAGGACGCTAAGCTGATCAGATCGGTCGGACGTCACAAAGTCACAACAATCGTCTGTTCACTGTATGTATTCTTCCTAGCTATATTCGGACTTCATATTTTTGTCTACTTCAATTCCTACTTTCGTATAGTAAACCAGTTCGCTTCATTATCCCTACAATCATTCCAAGATCAGTTACGAGTAGCGATGGTTCTAACATAAGGTTCAGTA